AAAGAGGGACTGTCCTGATGCATCTGATGAGAACTGTGTGAAACGATGTCCCTACATGAGTAAGTGCACAGGTTGAAGATGATGGAGAGAGCACCGTTCATCATAAACCTCAACCACACTGGAGAATTGGACATCCTCATTTTGATTTTGTCAAAGTTAATTTTGTCCATCAAACTTGACTATCGACTAGTAGCGGTGTGAACAAACACATCTGATATGATTCCATCATCTTTTTTTGAAAATTATTTTTCCCTTCACAGCCGACTTCCRCTGCAAAGACCGTCGGAGCTGCGTCTCAAAGAGTCAGGTCTGTGACGGTCGCTCTCATTGTCACGACGGCTCGGACGAGGTCGACTGTCCGGCCGTAGCTGCTCCTGCACCTCGTGCTAACATCCTGAAGTGTCGCAAGGGCTCCAGACTTTGCAGAGACGGGACAGAATGTGTTGTCTATACTCACGTTTGTGATGGAGAGAGAGACTGCAGAGACGGATCAGACGAAGAAGAATGTGGTGAGTTATTGGGAAAATGCTGCTTTTGAAAAGTGGAGTAAAGTTTGTTTTGTTTCTGCTTCCAATGAAGCAGGCAAGTCTCCTGTCAGATTTTTCTGCTTTACTTTATTAATTTGTACAAAAATGTCATAGCGATTGTTATTTTGTTGTCATCCACATGCATAATTTAAGTTTCATAGAATTCCATTTAGTAGTTTTATTTAGTCCTGCAGACAAACGGGCAGGGTTGAAACATGACAACCGTGGTGGAGGGAATGATATATTGTCATTTGATTGACTGGTGTTTTAAATGCCGCAGAGATCGCAACTAATCCAGAAAATCCACATTTAAATGAATCCCCTGCAATCGCCCAACCCTCGACTCAACCTCCCCACAAGCCGACCTGCACCAGTCCTTCAGTTCTGTGTCCCGGTTCCTCTTTATGCATTGAACCAACACAGCTCTGTGATGGAAAGAGAGACTGTGCTGATGGATCTGATGAGAACTGTTTGACAAGATGTCCTTACACGAGTGAGTTGACACAAATCCTACTGGAAAACTGGACAGGTTTTTTTTTGTTAGACTGATTCTTCTCCATAATGTTTGTGTTAAATTCTTACATTCGCAGCTCAGATTCTCTGCACGGACCGCAGGAGCTGCATCTTAAAGAATCTGGTTTGTGACGGTCGAGCTCACTGTCACGACGGCTCAGATGAGCTCAACTGTCAGAGCGAGTCTCCTCCTGCGTCTCAGGCTGATGTCCTGAAGTGTCGTAAAGGCTCGAGGCCTTGCAACGACGGCACAGAGTGTGTTTTATACAGCCATGTGTGTGACGGAGAGAAGGACTGTGTGGACGGATCTGACGAACGGGGATGTCCGGAAACCTGTAAACAAGGTGGTTTCACTAAAACACTCAATATTGACCCATGGGAATCAAACGTCAAGGTCAATACACATGTTCTAAAGAATGTCTAAAGAGAATCCTTTAGGTTAACATGAAGCCCAGCTGTTCTAAACACACTGTGCTTTCAAATGAGGATTAGCTGTAATGCTGTTTCATTCAATTCATACTCCACCCCAGATGAGTTCCAGTGCTCCCACGGGAGGATGTGCATCCCTACGGCTCAGGTGTGTGATGGGAAGTTTCAGTGTCTGGATAAGTCGGATGAGGTTGACTGCCGAGAACAAACCAGGAGCTGCGAGTATCGCTGTCCCGACGGCAGGCGCTGCATCCCGAAGAAGTTCCTGTGCGATGGCGAGAGAGACTGTGTGGATGGCACGGATGAGGAAGGCTGCAGTAAGAAATGGAAACTAACTTTGACATTTGCTAAAAGACAGTCCTACCTGTAAATGCTGAAACCTGTAAAATATTTTCATCAGTTTAACATTTTGTTCTCACCTCTCCAGACTCTGGTACCACCACTGCTGCTGCAACAACAGCTAAGTCCCCTCTCCACACTTCCAAGTCGGCTTGCATCACACCTTCAGTCCTCTGCCCCGGTTCATCGATGTGCATCTCTCAGAATCAGCTGTGCGATGCACGACGTGACTGCCCCGATGGGTTTGATGAGCAGGACTGTGTGTTCCGGTGTAAAAACAGAGGTAAGCCTGAGTCTGCAAAGCAAAAGTAGCTGCACTCTACTCCACCCAGCAAACCAATGATGGCATATGGACTGATTGTTTTCACCGTGCTCATCAGATGACTTCCTGTGCAGCGACCGGAGAAAGTGCATCTCCAAAGTGGAAGTGTGTGACGGACGTTCCCACTGTCCCGACGGCTCTGATGAGATGAAGTGTCGGTCAGAAGGTCCCGTTGATCCCTGTGAGAAAACAAGAAAAATACACTTCAACAATAATGCGTACAAGCTGTTGACAAAGTGCAAGAACATTTTATTTATCTGTAGTTTTCACTGGGCCATTCACACTATCTGCTTGCACCCTTTGACCTAGAATCCCTGTTACAACCAAATTATACCCCATAGCTACATCCTAACGTCCTAGCAACAAAGGCCGAACTGAATGAGACTTGTCTGTTCAATGGAGAATTTCTGTAATTTTTATCACCAGCTTGTCTCGCCCTTTACCACTGTTGCTTAGCAACAGAGCTGCAGCAGGACAGGAGGACGTTTTAATGCCCCTCGTGACACACTCATTTAAACGTGTCAGCATTATACGTTTTGGACTCGTCTCCCTTGTACCCGGAACCCATGGGCAAAACGCCACCGGCCATTCAGCCACATTACATCTCAAGTCTAAATTTGCATCGTTTGATTATCACAGGATGATTATCTCACCTGTGTTTATAATCTAATATCATTGTCTTCATAATGTGTTAAATTCATAACTGTCTCTCTTCCAAGACTCCAATGTGCCCAAAGGCAAATCAGCACCTGTGAAGTGTCCCAATGGTTTCAGGCCATGTAAAGACGGCCTGGACTGTGTTATGTTCAACCACGTGTGTGACGGAGAGACTGACTGCGAGGACGGGTCCGACGAAGAAGGATGTGCTGTCAAATGCAAAGCAGGTTCGTTTTTGTCGGTGAGTGATGTTGACATTTTTAGATCGACATTTGAGATGTTTATTGGCTCGTCCTCCAGGTGAGTTCCAGTGTTCTCACGGGAGGAGATGCATTCCACCAGCGCAGGTGTGCGACGGGCAGTACAACTGTCAGGACCGGTCCGATGAAATTGACTGTTCCAAGATGAGTGAGGGCTGCCATCAGCGCTGTGACAACAACACTCGCTGTATACCCAAGACCTTCCTGTGTGACGGCGAGAGAGACTGTGTTGATGGGTCGGATGAGGAAAAGTGTGGTATGAGATTTTCAACATTAAACATCGGATCCAGACTCAAAGCAATCACGTCTGCCTTGATCAGATGATTTCTATATTTCTTTCCCTTTTTCTAGGTCTGGTGGCCTGTGCGATTAACCAGTATCGCTGCACCAGCGGTCAGTGTGTGTCTGAGGCCCTGAGGTGTGACGGATATGCCGACTGCAGCGATCACTCCGACGAGATGGAATGCACCAGACCCCCGCGCTGCCCAGCACAGCTCCGATGCCCACACAGCCACGAGTGCCTGCAGAAAGAGTGGCTCTGTGACGGCGAGAACGACTGCTCAGACGGCTCAGACGAGAAGGTAAAGACGGACGGATGATGTCATATTACTTATTTAATCATTGCTTTTAACCTTGTCTCCTCATTTGTGTCAAGAACTGTGTGACACCACCAGCAAAGTGCAGGGAACACCAATGGCAGTGTGGAGACAGCAGTCAGTGCATCCCTCTGTCCTGGAAGTGTGATGGGAAAAATGACTGTCACAATGGAGCGGACGAAGACAAATGTGAGCGTGTTTATTTATCACGTTCTTTCCTTCTGTTTCCTTTTCTGTTGCAAACAGGAAGAAATACTCTCCAATACAGTTCGACATGTTTCATTCACTGTAGATGACCTCTGTTTCCACAGGCCTTCAGAGAAAATGCCCGTCCCCCCTTTACCAGTGTGGCAGTGGAGAGTGTGTGGACCCTGGCCTGGTGTGTAACGGCTTCACTAACTGTGCCGACAGCTCAGACGAGGGCGCGGGATGTGCTCAACGCAACTGCTCCAGCCCGTCAGCTCCTCAGTGTGAACACGGCTGCGTCAGCACCCCTAATGGAGCGGTCGGTTTACAACAGTGTATCTGGTTGTTGCCATCACTTTGAAATGAATTTGACGTCAGTACAACAACCTTATTCCTGCTTGGCATAAAAAATGCATTTCCCTCACTTTTGCAGAGCTGTTACTGCGCTGCAGGTTTCACGCTACTGTCCGGCACCGTGTCCTGTGTGGACATCAATGAGTGCAGCGCAGAGCCCCACGCTGTATGCAAACACTACTGCCACAACACCCGTGGATCCTACGTCTGTCAGTGCCACCCTGGATTCTACCTGGAGCCTGACAACAAAAGCTGCAAGACGAAAGGTAAAGAAGGCTCCATGAACCAAGATCTCAATACTTGTGCTTTTGTATTCTTCAGTGTCCTAAACCTTATGCTATTTGCAGACTTAAAGCTTTGATATTGAAATATTTGAAATTGGATCCTATCATGCACCAACACTTTTAAATCTTCTAAAAAAAGAAAATGAACATATAGAAATATGATGGATTACTCAAGCAAAGTTCACGTCAATGTAGGCTGGTTTTTACGGCATAGAAAAATAATCTATGATTTGACTCAACAATGAAAGTTGCAGGATGTTTTTTAATCATCTCCACAACAGGATGTGATTTAAAATCAAATGTTCATTCAGTTTATATAAGTGCAAAGTAGCAGTGGGATGATCCTGCTCTTGGTTTAGGTGCTGTCGTCATTCTCTGGTCATATCTCAATCTCTAGACGAACCGTTGCTCCTGGCATCCGTGCAGTCAGAGCTGCTACTCCTGGGAGTCCACAGCAGCACCCTGCGTCTTCTCTCCTCCGCCAGTCGGCCGGTCTTCTCGCTGGATTACCACTGGGCGCAGCAGAGAGTTTACTGGCTGAGCCCCGACTATCAGAGCATCCGCTGGACTGACGTGAATGGCTCCAATAACAAAGGAACACTCATCAAAGGTACAACTGACACAGGGACACTACATTTGATATAAGTCAGTTCCATACAGAACGAAAATATCTGTAAACATCTGGAAAGAAAGCGTCCCACCACGTTGTTCTGTTGCAGGAGTGAAGTTGGACTTTATCGCTGTGGACTGGGTCGGTAAGAACCTGTACTGGGTGGACGGACTCGTCGGCCAGATTCTGGCTGTGAAGCTCAGCGACGTGACAGTGAGATCTCAGGACTACACTGTTGTTCTGGGAGAAGATCTGGAGCAGCCCAGCTCACTGCTCTTGCTGCCACACAAAGGGTAGATACAGTCAGGTTGTAGATGAAATCATAAAAGATCTGTATATTTTTAATAACCCTAGATCTTTCATAATTCCAGGCTGATGCTGTGGTCGGAGATCGGCAGAACCCCTCAGATCGAGCAGTCTGGTATGGATGGTTCACAGAGGAAGGTGGTGGTGAGTCAAGGGCTGAGCTGGCCCGTCAGTTTGGCCTATGACCTCCTGGACAACAGGGTGTACTGGGCCGATGAGAAGCTGCGCTGCATTGGCTCGGCCTCCCTGGACGGAGATCAGGTCAAGGTAAAGACCTACTTTAATGATAAACCCCAAATCCTTCAAGTGCGAACATTTAAAATGACAGATATTATATTTGCAGCTCATCCCCCAGTATCATTATTAAATGATTTTGCCCTTCTCTCACTAGATTCTTCAGTTAGCTGAAACTCCGAGCCCTTTCTCTGTGGCGGTCTTCAACGACAGATTGTTCTGGTCCGACACGAAGAGGAGAACGATCCGCTCGGCTGATAAGAACACTGGGAAAGATCAGAAGGTTCTCCTGAAGAGACCTGGACAACCATTTGGACTGAAAGTCAGTATTTAGCTTCTAATGATGTCGGCATAACTGTGAAATCCTGAGAGGTTCCTAGAAAGAAATCTGTATTGGTTTTTTTTTCATATATGTTTCCTTTCTTTCCAGCTGATGCATGCCCTCTCCCAGCCGGTCACACCCAGCCCTTGCAATCATCTCCGTTGTTCCCATCTCTGCCTGCTGGCTCCTGCGGAAAGAGGCCAGTCAGGAGCTCCGGTGGTGAGGGGGCTCACAGCGGTTTGTCGATGCCCAAAGGGGCTGCTGCTCTCCAAGGACAAGATCACCTGCTCTCTGCCGATGGATTCAACTTTCATGCTGCTTTTGTCTAGCACCACAGTCTATCAGGTGAATCATCTCAGTGTTGAGTCAAGACCAGAGATCTCTCCTTTCTGGTTGTCCACGTCTTTAACTTTGTTCGTTTACCCCTTTTTTTCTTTCGTCTTACTACTCGACTAGATTTACCTCCACACGCTGCAAAAAGAAGGCGTTGCTCTTAAAAAAATGCCAACCAGTCGAGTTATGGCTCTTCCTGGAATAACCGATGCTGTGGGCCTGGACGTGTCCATCCACGGGCTTTCTATGTACGTGGCCGATGCAGGACAAGGAACAGTGGATATGCTGAAACTGAGCGGCTCCAGGTCCAGACAGGGGCTGACACCTGCTGGACGAATCCTGAAGCTGAAGGTAGCTTTTAAAGGATAGTTCGAGTTTTTAAATCCCTAAAAAACATAATTGAAGTGAATTGTTAGTTTTGATTAATGTAAAAATATGTCACCCACCTAGAGAAATTAAAATTCCTAAAACTAAACTTCTCTTCCAGAAGGAGGATTCAGTCATGGCTCTGGCAGTTGACTGGGTGACCTCTAACCTCTACTGGAGCAGCACCAACAGGCCCGACCTCCACGTTACCTCTCGGCACGGCGGCTACACCACCTCTCTGCTGCAGGGATCCCTGAGGGTGAGGCAGTCGTAGTTTGACTTTCTCAGGAGCCTATAAACTATTTTCTCTGCTAAATATGATATAAATCATGTATTCCCTTCAGGGGACAACATCCATCGCTCTGCACCCCCCCTCGGGACGGCTTTGCTACACAGCGATAGTTGCGTCCGATGAGAAGAGCCAGACAGAGGTGAACTGCGCCTGGATGGACGGCCGTAACAAAGCGGTGCTGTGGAGGGAGTCGCTCATCCCCACCTCACTGGTCTTCTCTCATCAAGGATCCGTGATCTACTGGGCTGACACGGGTAAGCAGATTAGAACAGACTATGGAGGGTTTCTGCAGGGTCTTAAAAAGTAATAAATACATTAACATATTATGTTAGCATTCATTTGAGCATTTTTTTGGTGTGATGTGCAGTATAAAAGTACAAAAACCTTGTCCATACACTCAGTACTATCTACTGTCTCTGCCTGTAGTTTGAGATTTAACAAATTAAGGGTTATTCTCTACTTTGCTACTTCACCTAATTCTTGGACACTTCATTCATTTTGTCCTAAAAATGTTTTAACTTAACCCTGTAGTGAGAGTTAAGGTTTTTAACTTGCTTGTTTGAGTCTAATTTCTCTTTTGTCAGGTGAGGGGGTGATCAGCTCTGTCGGAGTGGACGGATCAGGTTATAAACAGTATAAGACGGGGCCAGGTCTGCTCATCTCCTTCACACATACCGAGAACTTCCTCCTCTGGGTCACTCTGGACAAAGGTCAGGCCACTTTTTGTTTATTTTATTTATTTTTCCACTTCCACTGTCAGATGTGCTGCCGCTGCTCGGCGTGTTCTCTCTCCTCTGCTGATCACTCTGTCTTGTGGAATAAAATTTCTCACCTTCACTTCATTTGTCTTTTTCTCCCTTCAGGCAGCAGATGTCTTCAGACTAATGTGGCACTGAATTATTCAGCCAAGTAATTATGAGCAATCTGCTCTGTTAGACGTCTTTAAATGCTTCCACTTTGAATCTCTGGTACTTTGTCTTCTCTCCATCGGACCTGTCCTGTCAAATCCTGATATTCAGTGACTAATGAACACACATTAAATATTTCCTCGCTGTCGCTCTGTGCAGTAGCTTCTGAATTCTTGCCTGATTAACAGCTCTAATTTTTTCAACCATTTACAGATGTGACCAAACTGTGGTTCAGTGACGGACTTCAGCCTAAACAGCTGTGGTTTGAGACCAAGACGAGTCTGGTGGAGGTGAAAGCCTACAGCAACAACACCCAGTCTGGTAGGTTTCTGCAAAGTGTGTCTCCTTTATCGAAATATAAGAAAATAAGATTTGATATAATTTGCAAGTTAAGCTACAATTAATCAGGTGAAACATTTGAAATTAGCAGCATGAGATGGGTAGAAAGGATAATTTAAGATAACATAAGGCATAATCAGAATGTGCAAAGGACAAAAACCTTCAGACAAAATGAAAAAAGTCTCCATCCGTAGATCCAGACACTGACAGAGATGAGTGGAACAGCTCTGGGCTGAATCCAGCTGAACTCTAACACTTGTTAATAAAAGTTCAGAGTTAATTTTAAAAGCTGAAGTTTAATCGGAACAGAGACCAAAGGAGCAGAGTGATAGGATCTCGTTTCTTTTGTTCTGCCAGTGAAACGCTCGCAGCTGCAGTTTGTGAGTGACATCAGAACATTCGCTGAAAAAAGGACGAGAAGCCGAAACGAGATGAGAAACATTTCATGGATATAAATTCATTTTCTGTGACTTCTGTATAAAGAAGCATGGCTGCACAAATATACATGCTTTTATGTCAAAGTCGAAATTGCAAGGATGACAATGTCATAATGTTGATGAGGAAAGATCTCAGGCAAGAATGAGTTATGAAATATTTAATTTTTAGATGTTAACAAAATCCAGTTTTTTATGTCTTGCATGTATCACATTGTGGTTACATTTGATTTTGTGTACAGTAACACAAAACAGAGTATGGTTCTTTCCTCACTGGCAGATGGCAAACACTCATGTTTAAGTCTTCCAGTGTTGGTGACTCATTATTCGCAACAGGAAGCATGAGTCACAACATGTATGTATCATGTGCAGCTTTAACACGGTCTGTTGTAATGTTGCGATCAGCCATAGAGTTGATTTAACAGGAGATGGTTGAATAGTTTCCTAACCACAAACATGCAATCATAGATGGTATATAAAGATGGATGACAACAGGTCCCTGAAAGTGCAGCCAAAGGTCATAAACTCTACCTCGTCCATGTTAGTGGATGGGACATGGACCAAATAGGTCAATTTTTCTTTTGCTCAGACTCTGACTCCAAATGATGTCAAAAGCATGAAGCTGGTGGCACCTGCATCCGAGATATTTTCATCTTTACATAACTGGATGAAGTGGAGATGCATCGTCCATCTGTATTTGCAGTTTATATATGCAGCCGTGATTTGCAGAATAAGAAAACTGACATTTTTAACGTGGCTTTTCAACACTGAATTCCTCTGTGCAGGTTTGTAATGCTCAGCTACAGCACTTTGATTTCTGAAGCACAAACCTGCCAAACCACTTTGTTAGTCATCATTATTAGGAAGCATTTCACCTCAGATTTGCTTTCTGAAGGAATCAGATAAAGTGTTATCGGACACCCCGGGGCAGAATGAAAAGACTCTCTAAGACTCAGCTTGAGTTGAATAGAAACCAGAGTGATGTGATATCTGTAGGGAGACAGGAGATCAGACGCCTGTTACAGTGCGCTGCAGTGGGAAAGACTGAGAATGAATAGAGCTTGAACACACACTCACTGTTCCCTCCTGATTCTTCTCTTGACCTGGGACAGACACTTGGAGTATAAATATATTCAAAGCAAAGCTGCTCTCTTACGTTAACTAACCTCCTGCTGCTGTAACTGGGGAGCAGTTTGTGTGTGTTTTAGTTTACGTGTCTTCCAAAACCCATCCTCCCTTCCCCTCCACACCTTCCCCAAACGAGGGTCAGGGGATCTGCATTTACATATGATCTTTGTCATGTTTTCGTTTAGTGAAAGCCATTTCACCTCTTACTTTCCAAACCTTTATTTTGAAATCCAATCTTTTACTTTGAAAATAAT